GGGGCTGGGGGCAGCCAGTGGCTCTGCTGGGACAGAGGTGGGAGGGAAGCGGGGAGCCCAGCCAGCCCGGCTGGAATTTAGGGCAGGAGGATTTAGCAAAACAAAACACCAGCCCTTAAAGGAAAAATCCCAGCCTCGGAGCCGGGGGAGGAGGAGGAGGAAGGGGGGGGAAGGCAGCTCCAGAGCCAAGGAGGGGGAGGGTTTGTGGAGACGGGGAGGAAGATGAGCTGGTGGCTCTGCGGAGGGGAGGAAGGGAAGGGAGAAAAGCGGCACGGATGAGAAATCCCCAAACGCAAGCGTTAAGAAGCTGAAGGTATTAACGAGAGCCCCCGGGCGTGCTCAGCATCCCAAAAAAGCTCTTTTCGGGGGGGTTGATGCACTCAGAGCGGGGGAAGATGCTGCTGGCTCTGTCCCTGTCCCCCTGTCCCCAGCTGCAGGCAGCTGGAGAGCCCAGCTCGGTGCCTGTCCCACCACTGTGCCGTCCCCTCGGAGCCGGGATGCTGGTGGGGGGGTCTGTGTGGGAACTGGGAATCACAGAACCATGGAATCATTCAAGCTGGAAAAGACCCTCGGGATCATTGAATCCAACCATCAACCCCACTCTACAAAGTTCTCCCCTGCACCATATCCCCCAACACCACATCTAAACGCCTCTTAAGCTGAGTAATGACATGAAAACAGTGACCGGGGAGGGGGCCAGAGCTTGGACTTGGCCTCTGTGTCCCCACCTGGGAAAGGGGATGGACCTCAACTGCTTTGGTGAAGCCCCTTGTAGGGATGGGGAAGGTTCTTCCCCGCCTTGGTGGGGCTGTGGTGTCCCCCCCAGCTCCCCAGTCCGTGGGAGGAGCATCCCAGTGAGCACTGGTCTCTGCTGGATCAGCACTGGGGGGCTGGCGGGGGGGCTCTCTCCTGGGCCATGGTGGGCACAACCCCAGCAGCTGCTTCTTGCAGACATCTGGAGCCTGGGGGTCATCCTCTACATGCTGGTGTGCGGCCACCCCCCCTTCCAGGAGGCCAACGACAGCGAGACCCTCACCATGATCATGGACTGTCGCTACACCGTCCCCCCCCACGTCTCCGCACAGTGCGCTGAGTAAGCACCTCTCCCCCTGCACCCAGACCCCCCCCAGACCCCAAATTCCTGCCCTCCTTGGGGCCTGAGGTGGGGAAAAAGGGGGTAAAGCAGCCAGGTTTGGGGACTGCAGTGTTCCTCCCCCATCCCTGCCTTCTTCCCCCCGCCAGCCTCATCTCCAGGATGCTGCAGCGGGACCCGAAGCAACGCGCCTCCCTGGAGCAGATCGAGGGCCACCCGTGGCTGCAGGGGGTGGACCCGTCCCCCGCCAGCCGCTGCCTCCTGCCCCTCACCTCCCACAAGCGCGTCTCCCAGGAGGAGCATGAGATCATCCTCCAGGCCATGACCTGCGGGAACATCGCCGACCGGGACGCCATCCAGGAGTGAGTGACGGGGTGGGGATGTCCCCCCTGTCCCCCCTCGGGGCCGCGGGGGGGAGGTTTTAGCGGGGACAGGGGTGTCATAGAGTCATAGAATTGCCCAGGCCGGAAGGGACCTCCAAAGGCCATCTAGTCCCACCCCCCCGCAGTCAGCAGGGACACCCCCAACTAGACCAGGTTGCCCAGGGCCTCGTCGGGCCTCATCTTGAATATCTCCAGGGATGGGGCCTCAACCACCTCCCTGGGCAACCTGTTCCAGTGCTCCACCACCCTCACAGTGAAGAACCCTCTCCTCATCTCCAGTCTAAATCTGTTCCCCTCCAGCTTGAAGCCATTGCCCCTCGTCCTGTCACTACAGCCCTTTCTAAACAGGTTCTCCCCAGCCTTCCTGTAGGCTCCCTTCAGGTACTGGAAGGCCGCTATTAGGTCTCCCCGGAGCCTGCTCTTCTCCAGGCTGAACAACCCCAGCTCCCTCAGCCTGTCCTCGTAGCAGAGGTGCTCCATCCCCCTGATCATCCTTGTGGCCCTCCTCTGGACCCTCTCCATCAGGTCCATGTCCTTCTTATATTGAGGGCTCCAGACCTGCACACAATACTCCAGGTGAGGTCTCACCAGAGCAGAGTAAAGTGGCAGAATCCCCTCTCTGGACCTGCTGGCAACGCATCTCTTGATGCAGCCCAGGAT